ACTATGTTTTTAAAGAAAAACAACACAACTCTCCCACTTTCTACTGTATTAATCCTGTTACTGATACACTCTTGTCAGGTTACAAGCCTGGAATAGGAAGAGAAGGACAGCTATAGGGAAAGCCACATCTCATGAAGGAGCAAACCTCAGAAGCAAATTCCAACGTAACAGGCTCATCTTAACCAGGCAGTAATTCTCTCTCCTTGTTCTATAGCTTTTACTGCCTTGTTCCCCATCTCCCATCCTGCTGCCTATGAAGGCAATTCACAAACTAGAATTGTAGTGCCACAGAGGACAATTAATATTTTTGGTTCAACATTATTCTCAGTTATCTATTCCACTGTTATCACAAAATCTGCTATGAAATGCCCTAGCTCTGTTTCAATTGGGCTTTGGAAGACTAAAGGGAATTATCCAGAGTTTCCCCAAGTACAAGGTAAATCTTGTGGAACACTAGCTGAAACTGTAAGATCTGATAGATCTTTTCCATAGAGATTTCCCACTTTCTCCAATAATAATTAGGATGATGATTTATTAAGAAGTGGCCAAGTGTCTTTTTAATTGACCAAGTTGTTAAAACTTTGGCAAATATTTTCTATTTCATCCTCAATGAGTTATTATTATTCACATGTAGAAAGCATTTGTGCAGTATTAAAATAGAGTAGATGGGATTTTAAAATATTTTGTCACAAAGTTTCTTTTCTTTCTTCATCCTACTTCTTTAATAGTTGTATTGACACTTATCATAAAACAATTTTATCCATTTGTAATCAAGATCCCCTTTGATAAGGGGGGAAAAGCTTTATAATATTCTCTTTTAGAAATTCATTCTCTAACTTAGCAATAAAAATTTTCTGGCAATCAAAAAAATTTTTTTCTAGCAATTTTACTTTAAATTTAGTAGTTTTGTTGCCGATTATTGTGTGTATCTATGATAAACATGAATCAAAAAATTAGCAAAAAGACATCAGTAATTTTATAATTTCATATCCCATTTCCTATGTAAGTGTATCCAGACAAGAAAGCGAAGGCTAATTTCAACTGGGAACAGGTAAAGGAGCCACAGAAACTAACAACTTAAACTAAAAACAGTCTGAAATATTCACTCAGCCAATTTGTAATTAATCTTACCAATTTAAAGGAAATCTTATTACAGTGAAAAATTTCAGTATTTACTTTCAAATGCAAAAGCTTGCTTTTAGACATATGTTTCTCAGGCAAATATGAAAAGTCATTGAATCATATTAATTCACCCGGTATTATCTCTACAGATATTAATAAGGCAAGTCATTCAGGAGATCATGCGAGTTCCATAAAAAGTTAACCTCAGGCCCTCCCTGGTGGCGCAGCGGGTTAAAGCACAGCACTGAGAATCGAAAGCCGCTTCCTCATGAGTTCGATTCCCGCCTGCCCCAGAGGTGACCACATGGTGTGGCAGACCTCTCCTGACCCACCCGCTGCTCCCCTCAGCAGTGTACTTCGTCAATCTGCCTGTTCTGCTCCCCACTCTGTCTCTGGTGAAGCCTCTCACCGCCCCTAAGCTTCTGGCCTGTACCCCAGTTCTGTATGCACAAATAAATAAATCTTAAAAAAAAAAAAAAAAGTTAACCTCAAAGAGAGAGAGAGACCCCCAAACATTCTTAATGTTATTACCCATAAATTTGGTTGATTTCATTTGTATTTTTAACCTGAATAACCAATTAGAATAGCATTTATGGTAATAGATCTCAAAAGGGCTGGCCCCCAGCAACTTCCCATTCTTTATGCATGTGAGTCTAGTCTATAAAGATTATTCCCTCTCTCAGACTGCCTGACTACCAGTGACAGTCTCAGACTTATAAACCTATACTTAAAAAACTGACTGACTTACATTTACTATGGCCTAGAATGTTCTTTGTTATAACTATCCTTTAATGAAACGCAAAGGCTCATGTGAAAAAAGGAGGTCTGAAGGTTGTTAGCAATAGCTTCACTTTCAGCCAGTGATTCAATCACAGGAGTATGGTCATTTTGAACACTGCAGTCATGCTGGTACCCCATCCTATACCAAGTGAAAGAGAAAGCCCTGGGAATGGTTCATAGAAAGTTACCTTTTATACTATGTGACTTAGCAACTCTATAAATAAACTATATGCCCTAAAATTATTATTTCATCCAAATTTCAAATGTCTCCTAGTTCTAAGATTCTGGGAACATTTTATCCATTTTTTTAAAAATTAACTTCAGCACTCAACTTGTCTTGTGATCATCTTAGTGATCTTATACACATATTTATATGTGTGTGTGCATTTGTAAAACAGATACAAATGTATTTTTGTAAAATGTGCCTACATTCCTACAATCCTTTTCATTTCTCTTCTCAGGTCCTCTTCCAGTTCCCATTTATTGCTTCTAAATTATAATTTTGTTGAGAAAGTATTAAGAAAGGCCCCTGAGGACTTGCTTAAGTTGCATAAGAGATATCAGAAGGTATGTTATTTAATGCAACTACTCCTTTAGTATCATCTGTTTCTAAAAGTTAAACATTTTTTCTGCTTGGGCTATTTTTCACATGTGTAAATTATGCTCAACTCTGAATAAGTAGTTCTTACTTTTATTGTAAAACTCCTAATCGAAGCACTACATTAATGAGGTAATGAGCAAAATTCATGAAATATACCCATTTCACATTGGTATTTTAAACAAATTTTCTTTAACTATGGAAATCAGGGCATCCACACAAAAACTGATTTACAATTCATAAATGAAGGAAAGGGTAAGGAAAAACAAAGCCAAATACTATAAGACATCAATTTGTTCAAAAAGATAGACCTTGCATGAGTACTGTGTACTAATTAGTGCAAACACAAATAAAATGTCTTCCTATGTAAAAGCTGACTGAGTAGATAGGCAGCATAAATAGGACAAAAGGCAAGTTGTGACTTACTCAGATTCATAGTAAGACTGTTACTGAGCTGAAAAAGAGTACCAAATCTTGAACTCTCCATTCTGCTTCAGTTATTAAAGTGTCATCTTGGTGACCATCTTCCATTTGGCCTTTTCTCAAACAGATGCCACAACAGTAGGAGGGGTTGAAAATATTTGATAATAACTGAAATTAAGGGGAACAACTGTCTCTATCCTGTGGAAACTGATTCAAACTACTACATGGCTGTCACTAGGTTCACCATTATAGAAACACAAAGCAGAGATAGTAACTGGGAATGTTTCTAGGCTGAGGTCTAATAGGGAGTAAAGATTATCTCATAATGTCTCTTTATGATCTGTAAATCACATTATTCCATAAATCTGATGTTAAGTGTCAAGATTATGACTGAGTTAACTTCTAAGGAGGAAAATTTTTTTTTAAATGCTGCTACTTTTCTGACTTAAATCTAAAAACTGACTGTAGATATAGTTTTTTTCTCTAAAGTGAAAAGAAAATTTAAAGCCTCCTCTTACTATTCTAGAATTTCAACACCAGCAGAAATTCAATAAACTTCCTCAGAGCTAATGGAATTTTGCTAAAAAAAAAAAAAATACACTCAAACTTAAGTGTTTTTGAAAGCAGTGATACAAAATACCCAAAAATGTACAAAGTAAAGTTCTAGTAAATTCTAACAATATCTGAAAAAGTATTGTTATAAATGGAGCGGTTTAAAAACTAAATTCAACTAGGCCTCTGTCCATGTTTATATTTAGATTTGCTCTGGTATTTCAGGCCAAAACACAAAATAACTATCTTAACAGAGAAATAAGATTTGGAGTGGCAGCTTACAATGTCTACTGAAAAAATAAGACTTGACTGCAAATATTATCAATGTGCCCCCAGCCACCTGTTAAGAAAGATATCTGGGCACACCATCATTCTTTACAATGTCTGGTTTTTACACCTATCAGATTAAAAGCATTACATATTGGACTATAAAGATTTCCCAAATAAAAGCATTGCAAAAGAAAAGCATGATACAAAATTAAAGAACTATGCTCTAAAGGATTTAAACACACCCACAAAACCCAATCCAAGTTCACACTGTATTTAAACCTAAAACTGCTAAATGACCTGACATCCCGCATTTATCTCCTGAATTTCTCCACTTAATCACTTCTTGTGGATCTTGAGAGGTTAATCGCCATTGCTTTTCCTTTCCCAGAAAGTGATACAGCACCTGGCTCCCACAGTTTATCAATGCATTTTGCTACACTTAGCACTGTTTTGTTCTACCCTACTAGGTAGATATTAATTTTGGCCTCTATCAACACATAGTTAAAATAAGCAGCCTCTCCTTTCAAGCATATGTCTTTCTCTGACATTTATAATTCTAGCGCACTGTCACCACAGCTCTTGGTCCCCATCTCTGTCCTATCTATTCAAGTAAGGCCTCTTCCTCTTCCAGAGTTTGTCAACATTAGTTTGGTCAGATATTGTACCCTGAAGGCAATGGCTATCTCTCCCAGCTCCCAGCTCCAAACTACAAGTCTTAATGAGCGCTGCTTTTCTCCCCTCCACCTCTAGATCCATTTACATCCGCCCAGCCCATTGCCCCGGCTACTCCCAATACCTTTCCCTCCAACCCCCGCACAATTCCACGCTCCCCTTCCCCACTCCTGATTGCACCTACTATCCTGGGCCTTACCCGTAACCCAGACGCCGGGAAAGATCTGCCAGCCGCCCCACGGCGTCTCTCCTCCGGGCTTCCACCGCTCTTTAGTAACTGTCCCCACTCTTCCTCCCCCCTAGGGCCCGCGCGCCGCCCAGAGCCCCCTCCCCGAAAAGCCCCCGCTGTCACTCGGCCTCTCATCCACAAGATGGCGGAACTGCGGCCCCCCACCCCGGGTCCTCTCCGCACCCACTCTCGTCTTCCAGGAGCTCTGGTCCCGTCCCTTCAGCTTCCCCCGCCGCTGGGTCATCCCAGGGTCCCGCTGCCCCCTCCTCCGGCGGGGAAGCGACCCAGGCCCGAGCCTAAGAGGCCGCCAGCGCCACAGCCTCCACTGCTCCCCAGCCTGCACCTTCTCCTCACCATAAACTTGAGCGCTTTTTCTTGCAGCACCGCTTCAGCCGGGTCCATAATCGCCGGGGGCCGCTGGTTCTGCACTCCGCCGGGGCCGCCCCCTAGGTACCAGGCCGCAGCCGACGCAGCTCCCGGATCCCGCCTCCTCTTCCTTCCCGCCCCCCCCCCGCCCTCTCTTACCTCTCAAGACCCGGCGGGGGGTTAGGGGCGGAGGGTGGCCTGAGAGGCCCAGTGGTTTTGTGCGCATGCGTAAACTCGCTGGCTCACGGGATTTGTAGTTCTGGAGCTTTCCGCAGCCAAACGTGAGCCCATCCCACGAACCGCAACTCCCGCAGTTCACTGCGGCAGCGTCTCTGCTGCTGAGAAGCCAAATCCACACAAGTTGCGGTCAAGTAGAGAAAATCGGCTCATGGGAATCGTAGTTTGCAGCTACTACAGATGAAAAACGGGAGGGGCACAGGTGTCTCCGTGGTTACGGAGCGACGCCTGTGGCGGCTTGCCTGGCATTTGACATCAAGATGGCGATCAGTGCCTCACCTTGTAACCCAAATACTGAAAAAAACGGATTGGACTCACTCGTCCTAGGGCCTAACTGTGGTTTTAGAGCAGTGGCCATCCCGAAATTTCATCCATCGGGCGTCTGCAGACGGATTTTGATGCAGAGGTGCTGGGTATATGGACACCTAACCAATGCAGATTTCAAGATCCTCCTAGGTTATCATCCATATTCCCATTCTCATTCCCATTCCACTTCCCAAGCAAGTCAGGGCTGGACAGAACATGGCTCAGGAAATTCTCTGGTATTTTTGTGCTCACAATGTATATGGTCTGCCACTGCTAATACAAAAGTCCTTCAGGGTTGGTACATAATGGAGGTCCATCCAACAAAACCTGTAAATATATAATTTGACCTTGGAAGAAACTAATTTATTTTGGAATTGGTTCTACCCTAGGTAGGAAAAAAGCACTAGGTTTCAGCTACAAATGGCAGACTTATGGAAAACATATTATGTGATAAAACAAGTGATTTAGGGAAATGCTTTTTCACTTATCAGAAAATTTTCCACTGTAAACTATACAGTGTAAGCATATAACTCAAGAAATGGGGAACATGATTAAACTTAGTCTTAGGGCACTTAACATTTCTAGTTTTTGATACTCTTCCTAGTTATCCCTATGTCCACAGAACTCAGCACAATACCTAATACATAACTTTCAATTATTAAAAGGGTTTAGGGGGCCTCCCTGGTGGCACAGGGGTTAAAGTCACAGTACTATCAATCTGTCCCCAGTAACTGTGGCATGAGTTCAATTCCCGGGCAGAGAGGTGACCCATATGGCACAGCAGACCTCTCCTGTCTCACCTGCTGCTCCCCTTAACAGTGTATCTCAGAAGATGTATCTGTTCTGCTCCCCACTCTTTCTCTTGTGAATTTTCTAACTTCCCACACCTCTGGCCTGTATCCTAGTCTTTGTATGCAATAAATAAAATAAATCTTTAAAAAGTTTTACTCTCGCATTTAATAAAAGAGTTCTACATGAGTATAAAATAGAGAACACTTAAAATCAATGTATAACGCAAAGTAATGTAGCAAAGTTGTCCAAAAAACTAAAGGAGTTCTAATCAACATAAAGAGTAGTGCCTGGGGAGGAGAGGCTTATGAGTTTACACTGTTTTGAAGCCCTCAGACCACACATGGAGTTCTTTCTTCAATTATAGGTACCATGTTCCACAAACATACAGGAACATAGCCAAAGGCAGGATAACCAAGGGAGGAATATTGCTGAGTGCCTACTCTGAAAAAGGACCAATGGTGGGACAATGATAATAATGGCAAAGATGATGGTGGCGATGATGACATTTATCACTTTATTAGCTCTTTGTGCTAACGAATACATCATTGCATATGAATTGAAACTGTGCTGGCAGGGGCTGGGTACAAAAAGAGTAAAGCCTTTTTCTTGAAAATGGACAGTTCATGATCCAGCACTCTGAGATGAATTGCCTTGGTTTTTAAACCCCTCATATCCTACATCATCTAGGAAAGCCCACTACTAGAAGTTAAAAGGTCTAGTTCTCTCCTTTTTTTCTTTGGCAAAAGAATTTCACTTGTTTGACTAAACCTCGCTGGTCCTTTCTTTTGTCATCTGAAAAACAAAGATTTCTGCCAACTCTAAAAATCAGTGCCCCTTGAGCATGTTTATGGCAATTACTCAAAAACACTGAATCATTAAAACCTTTGAAGCTCCACTTTGCTGGAAAACTGAATTTCCAGCATAAAAAATAAGTTACAACTGGACTTAATTTCTTCCCTTAACATCCTGGCCTCAGAATACTCTTTCATTCATCCTTGTCTATTAATGTACTCTTTCAGTCAGTAACCTATCAAAATGTCTCTTCCTAGTTTCAGACTTAAGCATTTTTCTTAGTTTACCTCCATCAAACTAATTCTCTGACTTGACTCTCTCTACCCACCTTTTCTTTAATCTCTTAGAGATTTTTTTGGGTCACCTCCAGAGTGGGGACAGAACACCTGCCAATCATTTTTCCTTCGATTGACTTCAAGATTTTCATAATCTTATCCAATCCTATCTCTCTGACCCTATTTCCCACTTTATTTTAATATGCCCCTCCTTTCCAATCAGTCCTTCCTCTTCCGATCAGCACATCTGCTATGCTGTGTCAAAGAGCAGGACAGCAGAGACAGTAAGATGACTAGTCTACACTTCTACCACCCTACTCCACCACACACAGTATTATTATAACAGGGTGGTCCCTAGGGAAAGGGGAAGTTCCAGGTTCCCTGCCCCACCCAGAAGGAGGGTGGAGCTGCGGAGAGAAAAGCAGAGAAGAGAAGGAATCTGAGGAGGAAGGAAGCAGGATGGAGAGCCAGGAGACCTGAGGAAGCCACATGGAGCAGCAATCATGTGATGAAGAAACCATGCTTGTTTCTTGGCCCTGGACTGGTTGAAAAAGATGTGGGTGGAGACCTGTGGGGAGGTGACTATGGCAGTGTTTATATTGATTTTGATTGTGCTCTTTTCCTCCCAATCTTGTCTGGCCATTTCTGATCCTTCCTATGGGTCCCAGCCAGAAGGTGCTTTAGGCTGTGGTGGGCTTTCAGGCCTTGCTTTAGGCCAATCCCTTTTGGGTGGACTTTTGTCCACGAGGGAATGGGTAACTTCAAGTGTTTGATTTGGAAATTATATCCTTTGCCTTCTTTGTTGTATAGTCACTGTATTAAAGTTCCTTTCCATTAAAGTTCACGTCTTGTCTTGATGTGGCAAATGGCAGAAGCATTTAGAGCAGGCAGGTTTGGGAGTTTGGTGATGCCCCTCTCTCCCTGCCCTGTAACATTACTACTACTTAATTTTCTACACCTTTTTTCTTTAACAAATCTATACATTTGCCTTCTTTAGAGTTTACCCTTCTGAAGGCATACCACTCGATCTAACTCACCCTATAGTGTGTACTTGCAACAGAGCAGGTTAGAGCCAGAAGTAGTCCACACATACCTGCACTTTTTTTCTCATCCTGTTATTCCCCTCTCCTATGCACAGTGGCTTTCTCAACCCTGATTGCACATAAGTCATTTGAGGAGTTTTATCAAAAATATTGATGCCCAAGCTCCACCTTCCAGGAATTCTGATTTCTTTATCAGTGTAAATTTTTAAAAGTTCCCAGGTAATCTAATCTTCAGCCAGATTTGAGAGACTTCCTTAGAATCTAGATCCCAGTGACCTCTTGTTGACCTCTGGCTATCCAGAGTCCCTGCCATGCCCAACTTGCCTTTTAAACTCTAGAATTACTGTTCCTCCTCCCCTTGGCTCATCCTCCTTACCCAAATCCTCTGTTTTCCAGGGACAGGCAATCAAAACTCAAGGTTGACTGGAAACAGGGATTATAATCTATCAACTCACGGGATTATGGTGATGGCACACGGGTGACTTGGTGATGGGAAACCAGCAGGGATTACAATTGAGATGGAAAAAAAATGTACAAAATGATGTAAAAATAAAATGTTATAAAAAAATATTTTAACTGGGCCCTCCCTGGTGGGGCAGTGGGTTAAAGCACAGCACTAAGAAGCTAAAGCCACACTTCAGCATGAGTTCAATCCCCGCCTGCCCTGGAGGTGACAACATGGCACGGCAGACCTCTCCTGACCTGCCCGCTGCTCCCCTCAGCAATATACTTCGAAGACCTGCCTGTTCTGCTCCCCACTCTGCCTCTAGTGAAGCCTCTCACCACCCCTGCACCTCTGGCCTGTATCCCTGTTCTGTATGCATAAATAAGTAAATCTTTTAAAATATATATATATATCAACTATTTGAATACATAACAGGCTTAATTCTACCGTCCAGAGGTCCAGGGAGGTGGGAAATATAGTCGACATTTCAGTTGGCAGGAAAGACGTTGTTTAAGCTAGAACTAAATAAAGACTTTCATTCCCTTCCCTCATCTTCATAAAAGGGTACTTCTGAAAGATTGCTGAGCCCATCTGAGCCATTGTGTGTGTGTGTGTGTGTGTGTGTGTGCCTAAGTAAAAGTCATTGTTAACTGTGGATTATGATCCAGATTAGATTCCCCCAACAGATTTCCCACTGTCAAAGGTCAATGAGTAGTCAGTCCCTTTCAGAGCAAACTCCAAGCAAAGGTAACCAAAATTGTGGTATTACATCAATCCCAAGCAAGACCAGTGTGACTTTTGGGGAGGAGCAATGCTGGACCAGACTGCGGTGAACAAGAGCATGAGTCTCTGCAGGCACGCTCTCCAGCAGCACACACTGGCCGGGTGAACAGCTAACCTGCTTGCTAAGTGAGGTCAGTGCCTGCATGCACCTTACCAGCTCCATGACATTTTTGCTTTCACTTCAGTTTATTGGCCAAGTTAAGGAATTTGAGCTTTATCCCAAGGGCTGTAAGAAACTACTGAAAAACTACTGACCTCTGCAACATGGTCAGACTTGTATTTTGAAAGCCACTTTTCCCAGCCTCTGCCTGAGGTAGCTGCTGAAATCTTTCTGAGAGAGGAGATGGAGGTTTGATGAGAAGGGTGGTAAGCACAGAAAGAAGTAGATAAATTCCAGAGAGGCTGAGGACACAGAAGATGCAGGACTTGGTGATTGATTGGATATGTCATGGGTGAT